AAGTCGTCCATGAAGTCCGCCAAAATCTAAGATTTTATGGCGGTCCGGTGTTTGTACTCGATATCGTACCCGCTAATTTCTATAGCCCATTTGGCAAACCGGGCCGAGAGCTCGGGTTTGTGCATAACATTCCTCAGTGGGTACAAGGTCACGACACATATGGGGTGACATTGAAAGTACGATTTTAATTTCCTATAAGAGCTTAATAAGGCGAGCGCGCTAATTATTCTAAGTGTGGATACCTTGTTTCGGCATAGCCTAGGGTTCTAATAACATAATAAATAGAAAATTACGTACATTCTTTTTCCCGGACCAGGATACCACTTACCGCCACCTTAGAAACCTCTAAGTACAGGTATATTTGTTCATCCGCCTTTGGGGTGTGCAACATGGGAGGGCTCAATAAGTATCACTTGAGCTCTTCTAAATCTCGCTAGCACTCCGGGGTCCAAGAGAAGTTGTTCTTCTTTTTCAATAATGAGAAAAACATGTGGCTCTTATCTGGCGATCTTGAAATAAACCGGCCCAACACGGCTATTCGCCTGGTCAACCTTTGTATTGCCTTAATGTTGTCAACTACAGTTATATCTTTTATATCTTTTACTTTGTCCATGCTGATCTCTATTCCACGATTAGATACCATGAACCCGAGGAACTTGCCCGAGCTGACATCAAAGGCACACTTCTCTAGGTTTAGTTTCATGTTGTACTTCCTCAATATGTCGAAGGTTTCCTGTAAATGTTTCAAATTGTCCTCTGCTCACAGGGACTTAACCAACATATCGTCAATATAAACCTCTAGTGATTTCTCTATTTGTTCTTCGAACATCCGGTTAACTAGGCGTTGGTACGTGGCACCAGCGTTCTTTAGCCCAAACAACATCACGTTATAACAGTAGGTGCTAGATTTAATTAAGAAAGAAGTCTTTTCTTGATTGCCCGGGTCTATTTGAATTTGGTTGTACCCGAAATAAGCATCGAGAAAACTCAGTATCTCATGTCCGATCATCGCGTTGATCATTCGGTCGATGTAAGGAAACAGGAATGAATACTTTGAACACGCCTTGTTTAGATCCTTATAATCTACATACATTCTAAGTTTGTTTCCTTTCTTAGGTACGGCTACTACGTTAGCTAACCAATCCGGGCATTTAACTTCCTCGATAGAACCTATTTTTAAAAGTTTAGATACCTCGTCTTTGATGAACACGTATTTGATCTAGGATTGCGGACTTTTCTTTTGTTTGACTGGATGGAACTTTGGATCCAGGCTCAATTTGTGAGTTGTTACCTGATAAGTGTGGATTTTTACCACTTATTAGTACATTTTTACTTTTGTTTTAGTCCGAAAATGTTGATTTATGTTTCCAAAACTAATAAAAGTGTCTATATTGTAGAAATGTTAGAGATTTGGGCTCAAATGAAGAAATCCAACTCAAAAAGGAGTGTTCCGGCTCACAAGGCAAGAAGGGGCACATCAGACCAAAAGTGCGATCCGTAGAAGAAAGCGCAAACCGTAGAATTCTCTTTGCGGCCACAAATCTATTGTTGAAGCTCAGAGATGGAATGAAGCGATGTTCGGATCGCACACAATTTGTGCAGTTGCAGAACATGGTCGCACTAACAAGAATTCAAAAAGTTTAGAGAGTGTGCAAAAATGACCAAGACCGAAGCCTTGCCTGAAGTGCGGACCGCACATGAATTTTGCGATCGCAGAAGCTGAAGTGCAGCCGCAGATCAAATTGTGCGGCTGAAAAATCTATCCACCTGCAGACTCAAGCAATATGCGTACCGCACATGGAATTGTGTGACCGCAAAACCTCCCGAAGAACAGTTTTGTCAGCGAATTTTGGAGGTTTTTTAGCTGTAGCCGTTGTGGTTTACCTTTTTGAGTAATTTTTGATCATTTTGGGACAAAACACCATAGTATATCATTTTAGTTTTATATTATGACTTTAATTAGTGTTTCTTCTTTGTTTTCTTCAATTTCTACTGAACAGCTAGACATTTACTAGGGTTGTGACCCAACCCTAGTGTGTAAACCTTATGGGTATTTAATTTAATGCTTGTTAATGATTAGGTGTTGGTTATTTAGCCTTGTTCATGCCTTAATTTTAGAATTAATGGTTGCAAACATTGATTCATGCCTTTTTGACTTGGTCTTTACTTGAGAAAGAGGGACTTAGTCTAGGAAAACTTGGCTAACAAAAAATTGAGCTAGTTAAGTTTTTGATTAGCCTAGTTAAAGGGTTTGAACTAGAGATAGGGAAAACCCGACTTTAGCTCACATCAACCACTTAGCATAATACCCATTCGGGCTTGAGAAAGCCAAATTGGGCAAAATCACTCTATGAGTGAGAGGTATTGAGTAGGTAATTTAGAGTTGAGACCTATAATACACCCCAATCACTAAAACAGGTGTTAACACAATTAACCCATTAGGCGAATACCTAGGCGAATGTTACATCCCTAGGCTTTTTACCTATTTGAAAACAACCAAAAACAATTAGTCAATTTCTAGTTTCACCTCTCTTGTCAATCATTAATAGTGTAGTTCATAGAAGTAATTTTCAACACAAACCTTTTGGGGAGTGTATTTAAGTTGTTTCGCCTTCACGCATAAAGCATACACTCTAGCACTCATTGTTAGCTCCTTGAGAAAATCCACCCCGACTCGTAGTTGGGTACTATTCTTCCAACAACCTCTTCCACTCATTGTTGAGTGTCGATTGGGAGTGGACCAATTTTTGGCGCCATTGCTGGGGAGTTAAAACGATGTTAGCTATATATTTTAGTATTTTTTGGGAATATCTTCTTTCCATTCCGTGTTACTAATTTATTTAAGAAATCTTAGGTACAAACATGGCGAACAATGAGCTCGAAAATATGCCTTTGGGGGACTTGGACGGAGAGGAGGAACACATAGATGAGGTACCTCGAGAGCCACAAGCCAATCAGAGAGGCGGGGTACCACAAGACAACGTGCCCATTTCACCCCCTGCCTCTACTACGAGCGGCTCATCACCGTATATTGACCAACGAAGGTTATGCTAGTGCAATAGTCCCTCCCCGTATTAGGGTAGGCAATGTTCAAATCACCAACGTGATGCTCACATTACTTGAGCAACGAGGTTTCTTTCCCGGTGCACCAACTCAAAATCCCTACAAACGTTTGAAGGGCTTTGTAGATACATGTTGGGGGAGCAAGCAAACTATCGAGGATGCATTATGGCTAAGGATTTTTCTTCTCTCTATAGGGGAAAGCTTTGGATTGGTTAGAACGATTGCCGAACCATTCGATTCACACTTGGGATGAGTTGGCGGCCAAGTTAATTGCTAACTTTTTCTCTCCTGGGCACATGGCTACCTTTCGGGATGAGATCTTGGCATTCAAATAAGAGCCGAATAAACCACTACACAAAATTTGGGAGCGCTATAGAACAATGGTTAAGAAATATCCCAACAGCGATATGAAGGAAAACATGTTGTAACAAACCTTTTATCGTGGGATTAACACAACCAACCAATGTGTAATGAATCAACTAGCCAGTGAGAACTTTATGACTATGCCTTATGAGGAGGTGTGTGATATTCTAGATGAGATGGCGAAGACATCATCAGCTTGGCAATCCCGGGCCAATGTTCCACAAGGTGATCCGAACATGATCCACATCCATAAAGAATTGCAAGACCATGGGCAAGCCATTGCCGAATTGACTACTACCATGACTTAACTAGAAAAGGCCCAACTTAATCAAGTGCAAGCTCATAAGCATGTTCATGCTATGAAGGAAGTAAATGTTTTGGTGAACAAGAGGAGGACCAAGGGTCTACAAATGTAAACTCGAGTGGAGAACTATGTGCAAGATGATGGTGGTTTTGAACCAGATGATTCTTATAATGAGCAAGAGGAAGAAGTGCAATATGTGAATAATTTTCAAGGGCAAAGAAACAACTTCCAAGGCCCAAACCAACAACAATGGCGACCACAAAACAATCATGGTAATTGGAGTTCTAGCAATCAAGGAAATTGGCATAACAATAACAACAATTAAGGAAATTGGAGTAGAAACAACCAAGGAAATTGGGGAGGCAACAACCAAGGTGGTTGGGGTAACAATCAAGGAAATCGGGGGTCTGGTTTTCGAAGGCACCCAATGTATCAACAACTGAGCAACCCACCTCCTTATCCTTCCCATGGTTTAAGTTCTTCAAATAATGAGATGAGACGTATTGAGAATATGTTCAAGCAAATGATAGAAAAGAATGTCGATTCGTATGCCCAACTTTCCTTACAGACCACATCAATCCACAACCTAGAAGTTCAAATGGGGAAAATATCTCAAGCTCTAAATTCTCATCCTAAGGGTGAAATACCAAGTAATACGGTGGTAAACCCAAAGGGTGGTAATAATACGGGGCATACTATGGCGGTTATCACAAGAAGTAGAAAAGGCGGTAATGCATCCACCTCAAGTGGAAGGCGGCTTGTTGATGATGATCACGTAATGCAAGAAGAAGAGATCCCGAACAATATTGTTCAACCAAATAAGGAAGTTCGGATTGATATTAATGATAGTGTGGAAAAGACTCAAAAGGAGATGAACCCGTCTAGGGAATACATCATTGACATACCAGAGTCAGTAGTGTAAAAGACAAAGGCACCATTGCATGGAGCTGCTACAACATTCATTGAATCTGAAGAATGGTGAGAGTATTACCTTTTTGTCTGACATGCAAAAGGTAAAAGTTATCTTAGTGTTTGTTTGAATCTTTATAGTTAAAATTATAATTATTATATATTTGATCCTTACTAAATGTACATGTGCAGAGACTTTTAGATGCTGTAAGAAATGTCCTCCCTTTAGCAAACCACAAGTGTCATTTTATTTATATATTCAGAGACTTCTATTTGACCGGTAACTAACCCTTCAAACTTTTACAGAATTTGTGTTAGGCATATTGAATCCAACTAGAGTAAGAGATTCAGGACAAGAGAGATGAAGAAATTTCTCTGGTGGACTGCCTGGAGCAGTTTTGAAGAAGAGTTTAAGGACCAGTTAAAACAACTTGGATCTTTGTGTGTTGATGCTGCTAAGGATTTGCTTAGGTATCCACCACAAAATTGGTGCAGAGCATATTTTGATACAGTATGCAAAAATCAGATGGTGGACAATAATTTTACTGAATCCTTCAACTCTTGGATCTTAAAAGCAAGAGGCAAGCTTATCCTGAAGATAATTGAGAATATTAGAATCAAGATCATGAACAGGTTGAGAGAGAAAGAAGAAGAGGTTAGAACATGGACTACTGAGTTTAGTCCTTATTGCATGAAGTTGTTTACCGCTTATCTGAAGATAGCTAATAATTCATGTACTGTGAATTTCAATGGTGACATTGGGTATGAAGTTTTTGAGGGTGATGATAAACATTCAGTGAACCTGGTAATGAAGAAATGCACCTGTAGGACTTGGCAGTTAACTGGCATCCCATGTCCCCATGCTATCAAGGCAATGGAATACAAGAAATTGGATCCGATCACTGAAATTAATTGGCGGTACAGTAAGGAAGCTTACCTTATGATATATAAGGCCAAGCAGATGCATGTTAGAGGTAAAAAGTTCTAGAAAGTATTACCAGAACATGCTATGGAACCACTTGCACTTGTGAAAACAGTTGGAAAGCCAAAGGTTCAAAGAAATAGAGAGAAAGATGAAGCCTGTAAGAGGCAAGGAGAGTGGGCTCAATCAAGGAAGGGAACTAGAATGACATGCAGCAACTGCGGATCATTGGACCATAATTCAAGGACATGCAAGGTAACTACTATATCATATAGTTTCACTTATATGATTTTAGCTGTATAACTAATATTTTTGCATGTTAATTATAGGTTGATGATAGTGAAAAAGGCAAGAAACAAACTAAGAGAAAAAAGGCCAATATTGAAGAAGTCATTGAATCTGAAGTTGAAGAACCCGAAGTAGTTAAAGATGTTGGTTGTTCAGCACCTCAACCAACATAAGATGGTGAATTTGTGTTCATTCCCACGCCTAGAGTTCAGAGACAACAATCAGAATCCTTTGGACCTATTAGAGAGCCTGAAAGTAACCCCTATTTTATGCATAAAATTATTTCTGAGGCCCAAACAAGACTGCACATAAGGTAATCTCCACAAAATCCATCTAGGACACGGGTGATCTGTTTTAGAGGAGACAACAATGGTGTTTGTGAACCCAAAAACTTCCATACTCACCCCCTAGGCTCAGTTGGAAAGGTAAAGAAGCGATCACTAGCAATCAGTTGGAAGTGGCAAGGCAGAAAAAGGTGGGAAAGTTGAAGTCTAAGAAAGCCAATGGAAACTCTCAAATCTAAGACATATTTAATATGTGCAGTTTTGGTCCACTATTACTGTTGAAATTAGTCTACTCTTGATGCAGTTTTGCTGTATTTTTTGGTTCAATTTTGTTGTTGTTTTGGCTCTTTATTAGTCCAGTTTTGCTGCAGAGTTTGGGCTAATTGTGCTGCTATTTCGGTCATTTCTTAACAAGTTCAGCTGTATTATTTTGATATGGTTTTACTGCTAGTTTCGTCCACTTTTTTCTCCATTATTACTATTGTTCTTTAGTCTATTTTTACAGCTACATTTCTATCCAACCGTAACAACAAATAATGGAGAACTATATAATTATTACATCTACAAATGGACAACTTGCAATAACAATAAATTATTGGAATTACACCGCTTTCAACTTATCATAATAATACAACAGACAACTACAAATAGTTAAAATAGTTCTTGCAAAAGTGAGTAGGAATCTTAGGACTATAATTATAAATGCAACTAAAGAAGGTGTTTTGCCATGTTGGACTTCCATATCAGCTTATTTTATATTATTAAACAAGTCCAAAAGGCTCAGGTGGCCATCTGTTAGTTGTGAGGCATTTATGGTCCCAAAGAGTAACGGCAAGGGTATTTTTGGTACCAAAAGCAAATAGAGGGTATAATTGAGCTATTTTCGATAGTTCGAGGGCATTTTTAGACCTTTTTCGTTGTTTTAAGGAACTTGAGAGTCTGCCACCTGTTAGGGAGTGTGATAATGCCATTCCTTTAGTACTTGGGGCTCAACCCTTTAATTTGAGGCTTTATAGGTACTCGTATGACCAAAAGAATGCGATTGAAAATATGATTAAAGAGATGTGACAGGTACAAAATGTCACTCCTAGTCAGTCTACTTTTGCTTCACCTGCGTTACTAGTAAAAAAGAAAGATTCAACTTGGAGGCTATGTATGGATTAAAGGAGGTTGAATTCTCTTACTATTAAGAATAAATACCCTATTCCAATGGTGGATGATCTTCTGGATGAACCCCATGAGGCCAAGGTCTTCTCTAAAGTTGACCTTAGGTCTGGCTATTATCAAGTGAGAATGAAGGCAGAAGATGAACACAAAACTGTTTTTCGAACCCATCATGCGTTATGGCAATTCAGGGTGATGTCATTCGGATTAACAAATGCTCCTACCACTTTTCAATCATTAATGCATCAAGTGTTTGGACCTTATCTGAGAAGTTCATTCTAGTTTTCTTTGATGACATTTTCGTCTACAATATATCATTAGAGGAGCACCTAGGACACTTACAAGTAGTGCTCGAATTATTAAGAAGCCACCAGTTGTTTGCTAAGAGAACAAAATTTGACTTATCCCAATCACAAATTAAATACTTGAGACATATTATCAGTGGTGATAGGGTGAGTACTGATCCCAATAAAATTACAGCAATGGTGAATTGGCCACAACAATTCAATAATAAAGAGTTGAGGGGTTTTCTAGGGCTCACTGTATATTACCGAAGGTTCATTAAGGAATATGCAGTCCTCAGCAAATCCCTAACTATACTACTAAAGAAGGGGGCATTTCAGTTGAGTGAATAAGCTACAAAGGCCTTTCATGCTCTTAAAAACGCTATGACTACAACTCCTATTTTATCCTTGCCTGATTTTAGTAAACCTTTTATTGTTGAAGTGGATGCATGTGCCACTGGTGTAGGGGCTATCTTAATACAAGAAAGGAAGCCAATTGTTTTTTTCAGCCAGGCATTAAGAACAAAACATCAAGGTCTTTCTAACTATGAAAAGGAACTAGTTGCTTTACTGCAAGTTGTTGATAAGTGGAGGCATTACTTAGTTCCTAGTCATTTTATTATTATGACGGACCACTTAAGTCTCAAGTTCTTGCAAGAATAGAAAATAACTACTGCACTACAGTATAAGGGTCTAACTAAATTGACAGGCTTAAGTTTTCAGATCCACTACAAAAAGAAAATTAATAATTCAGTAACTGATGCCCTTTCAAGAAGGCCAGAACCATCTATTACCAAAGCAACTCGTTAGATTATCATCGACCTACAACCTAAGTGGACATAGGAGATCTTAGCCAGCTATGAGGGAGATGAAGAAGTCACAAAAATCATCAGTGCACCTACCATTGATCCTACTGCTACAGTTGACTTGAAATTGCATAATGGAATCCTCAAATACAAAGATAAGGTCTGGATTGGTAAGCAGGGTAATTTGAGGAAACAACTAGTGCATCATGTTCATTCCACTAATTTGAGAGGTCATTCAGGTATTACAGCTACATTACATAGAGTTAGAGCTATTTTCTATTGGCCATCAATGTCGGAGAATGTTAAAGAAGTAGTAAGGAATTGTGCAGTTTGTCAGAGGTGTAAGGATGAACAAGTAGCCTATCCGGGGCTGTTACAACCATTGCCAATACCAGCTAGGCCATGGGAAGACATATCCATGGATTTTATTGAGGGGCTACCTAGGTCCAAGGGAAAGGATACCATCATGGTAGTGGTTGACAAATACAACAAATATGCCTATTTCTTGATTTTAGCTCACCCTTTTACAGCTGTGCAGGTGGCTACATTGTTCTTAGACCAAGTCAGCCTCCATCTCCATACCCTTAAAGACTGGCCAAGAAAAATGGTGAGAATCAATTCAAGAAGTTCATTCAAATGATGAAGAGTCTTTCAATCAACGTGCCATTGGTAGAAACTTTGGAAAAATGCCCGGCTATACAAATTTTATGAAAGATCTTGTGACAAAGAAGCGGTCAATAAATTTTGAAACTATCAAAATTACTCATGAGTTCGATTGTTCATTCAATGGATCATAAGATGGAGGATCCCAGTGCTTTCACGATTCCTTGTACAATTGGAAGTATCGAGTTTGCTAAAACTCTTTGTGATCTTGGGGCAAGTATAAATTTGATGCCCTATTCAGTTTTCAAGACTTTGGCGATTGGGTAACAATGATCCACTTATATGAGATTACAAATGGCCGATCGTACCATGAAAAGGTCGTTGGGTTTGATTGAAGATGTTTTGGTCTAGGTTGATAAATTCATTCTTCCGGTGGATTTTGTCATTCTAGATTGTGAAGTTTATTATGAAGTGCCAATTATTCTTGGAAGACATTTCCTTGCTACGAGTAAGGATATTTGTGATGTTAAAGCTGGATAACTCACTTTCCGGGTTGGTGATGAAAAAATGGTATTCCATGTGTGTAAGTCCATGCGGCAACCAAATAGCAATGAGGTGTGTTGTTTTGTGGATTTGGTGACCGATGTTATTGTTGATGATACAAGTGCAACTATCAATGTTAGTGATATGTTGAAGGCCGTCTTGCTCAACTTTGATGATGACGAGATGGATGGTTTCATGGAATGTGTGAACTATTTACAAGGAATGGGGTTGTACAACTATGCACCCCAAAAATTATCTTTGGATCTTGAAAATAGGAAGACTCCTTTTACAAAGCCTTCTATTGAAGAGCCACCTACCTTGGAGTTGAAGCCATTGCCTCCACACCTATGGTATGAATTTCTTGGCCCTTTTTCTACTTTACCGATTATTCTTTCCTCTTGTTTGTCTAATGTGCATGTAGATTCCATATTGGCGGTGTTACAAAAGAGGACGAAGGATATTAGATGGACTTGGCAGATATTTTGGGTATAAGCCCCGCCTTTTGTATGCATAAGATCAAGTTTGAGGATGGCGCTAAACCATCCATTAAACATTAAAGAAGACTCAATGAGGCTATGCAAGAAGTTATCAAGAAGGAGATTATCAAGTGGTTGGATGCCGGGGTTGTCTACCCCATCTTCGATAGTTCACGGACCTCTCCAGTTCAATGTGTCCCAAAGAAAGGGGCATGACGGTGGTCACCAATTATAAGAATGAATTGATTCCTACGAGAACGGTGACCGGTTGGAAGTTGTGTATCGATTATCGCAAGCTCAGTAAAGTAACAAGGAAGGATCACTTTCCACTTCCTTTCTTAGATCAAATCCTCGATAGATTTGCCGGCCATGGTTTTATTGCTTTCTTGATAGGTACTCGGGCTACATCCAAATTCTCATTGCCCTAGAATATCATAAGAAAATAATCTTTACATGTCCCTATGTTACTTTTTTTCTTTCAAGTAGATGCCATTTGGTTTGTGCAATGCCCCGACAACTTTTCAATGATGTATGCTGGCTATTTTCACGGACATGGTGGAGGACTATCTTGAAGTTTTTATGGATGACTTCTCGGTGGTTGGGGATTCTTTTGATGATTGTCTTGCAAATTTGGACAAAGTGTTGGCTAGATGTGAAGAAACCAACTTGGTACTCAATTGGGAGAAATGTCATTTCATGGTTGAGGAAGGTATTGTCCTTGGCCATAAAATCTCAAGGAATGGAACTGAAGTTGACAAGGCAAAGATTGAGATGATTTCTAAGCTGCCACCCCCAACTTCGGTGAAGGGTGTGCAGAGTTTCCTAGGCCATGCGGGTTTTTACCGGCGCTTATCAAAGATTTCTCTAAAGTGGTAAACCCATTGTGTAAGCTCTTTGAGAAGGATGTCAAGTTCAATTTCAATGATGATTGCATGAGAGCGTTTGAATTGTTGAAGCTCAATTTGACAACTACTCCTATTATTACCACTCCAAATTGGAGTGTGCCTTTTGAA